CGTAAATTTCATCATCTCATCAAAATACAAAACGAATTAAATTTTAGGTGGAATTCGACTGAAAAAGAAGACAAAAGAATCACTTAGTTTGAGTAAATTTTTGGATATAAATATTTCATTATATTGTATGCAACACAAGGAAGTTTTGAAAATCAAAAAAAAGGAAAGAAGAAAAAAATGAAATAACTGTTTGAAAATTAGCAAAGACAAAAAATGATTGACATTTATAATGCAAAAATACAAGTTTGGCCGATATCCGATTTTTTATTATTATTTTGTGCTAAATTATGAAATTAATCAAAAACCATACGATGCTTTTAATTGATTGATCAAAAGAAAACAGAAAATATATTTCATTCTTTTTTTGTCTTTCCCGTTTGACCATTTCACAATGGTCAAACATGGCAAATATTTGTGTCAATTGAGTAAATCCATTTTAGACAAATTTGTCTTTAAAAATGGAGAATGGAAAAGAGGGAGAGAGGGGAGAGAGAGAAAGAAAGAAGGAAGATGAAAGAAAGGGAAAATTTTCCAGCTTTTGTAGTTTGAATGCATTTTAGTAGTGAGATATTTCGTGTTACGCATTTTAGGATATATTTTAGTGATTTGCTTATTTCTTTTTCAATACTTAGAAAGTTTTTCTGTCTCCTTAACATTTTAAGCAGTAAACAAGGAATAGCTGTTACACAAAACAACCATACTGATCAGTTGAAGTTAATAGCCGCTTGAAGATTCCTGCTTTGTGCTATTACTAACTATTTAAAAAGACAATAACAATGTTTGATTCGAAATTTCGAATTAAACTTAAACTGATATCTTAACTTTCTTCCACGTATAATTGTTAGGGAAAGTTGGAATATTTATATGGGTGACTTGCACATTATGCTCCAAATATTCGCCCATTATTATGGGTCAGATACTTACCCTCTATCATGAGCAAAATATTTGTTATTTGTTGATAAAAAAATGGAAGGAAAGATATTTTTGCTATTTATTACTATAATGATGTCAGCTATAATCAAATAGCGCATGCAAACATCGCTGTTCATTCATGACTTATTAGACTGAAACATTTAGAAGTTTTTGGAATCGATTAATAATTGGAATTATTTCAACTAAATATAAACAAAACAAAAAAAGTTCGGTGAAATCGAAAACAAAGCAAATTAGCCGTGGCGAATAACTTTTTAAATCGTATGAAAAAGAAAAATGACACGTAAAAATGGCGTTACGGAAAGGAATGTAATGTTTTTTGCACCAAAATTGATAGAAACTGGAGCTGATAAGATAATTTGTGTGTGTGTGTATATGTGTGAATATGTGTGTGAGTATGTGTGTATGTGTGTATGTATGTGTGTTTGTTGTGTGTGCATGTATGTGGCGAAAAAGGAAGATTAATGAGAGTGAGCTTGAAAGGAGTGCAACGTGTAACGGTTTAAACCACCGCCATCATCAACACTAACATCATTTTCAAAATGTTTCCATTTTAATCCATCTGGCAATATTTCTTCATCAATATCAAAGCTTTCATGAAATTTCATATCTTTTTAACAAAATTTAAGCGTGCATAATTTTATGATGTTTACACGTATCACTTAATGAATCCATCCACGTATTGCTAATTCACACGTTTGCAATTATTAGGAATATTTGCCATAAATGATTTTAAGAAAGAATTCATTCAAAGAGAATTTTGAAAATGTTGAATGTAAGAGGAAGTCACCGTAATGTCATCGCCACACCATTGGCTGTTTCACGGACAAATTGCACGCCTCTGCACGCAACCATCTCATCCTGCGATACATCCCATCCATACCCCTGTTCCCCTCCTACATGTACATGTATGTGTGTATGTGTGTGTGTGTGTGTGTGTGTGT